TTCATCAGTCAGCCCTGGTATGCGTAGAAATATACTGCAGAGTAAGACGTATTAAATTAAAATGAATTATATAGCGATTTACATCAGATTTTTATGGGTCAAGGAAATTATTGACAAGCAGAATTCAAACACAAAAAATAATGAAAAATGAAAAAATCTCGCTCCAAATTTTTGAAAATTGTGGACGAGAAACATGATATCAATTTTCATTGGCCTTTAAAACTACAGAGTGTATCATAAAGAAAAAGGACTCCTCCTTTAGAAATTAATCTATTGTGTTAACCATAATATATTTTGCTCGTGGTAATTAAAAATTCAATTCAATTGTGTTTTTGCACTCTTGTGCATTCAGCATTGCAGCGTTATAGTGCTAGAAGCACTTTCAAATTATAACAATAAGGTAAATTTCTAAAGGTTTCCTATCTTTTATACACCCTGCAATCCTGCATGTAGTTTAGTTTAATTGTAGTTTCCTGCCATATAATTACGTTACGCCAATTGGCGTAATCTATTCTTTTCTTAAAATTATAGGTTGATGCTGGTTTTGACGTCATTTGTCAACTATTGTGGACAAACATATTTTGTGCTCAATGTATAGATCACAGTAAGACTTTTTTAATGTGTTTATTACATCAACAAACGACGTTTCTGAGATTTTGTTGACGTTGTGACAAAGCAATTCCAAAAATACAATGACAAATTTTCAATGCGGAATCGAAATGGCAATTCATGCACAGCTAGACCACAACACCGATGCCAATGGCTGGGTGCTTATGGCAATTATATCTATTTCGGAAATAGTGGCATATCCTAGAAGATTTCCTTTCTATCGAGTGAAAACATTCTTTTCTAGTCTTCAAAAATCGATTTTCCAGAGAGCTTCCAAGGAATGCTGACGTCCCTATATATAGACTTCCGAAAATGATTGGTTGCATGTGCAAACGGATATAATGGCGATAAAAAATTGTCCAATAAGATTTTCGAGTATATAATTTATTTTCTAATGATATCAAGTTATCACGAGATATCATGATATAATGATATCAACTTCCGAAAACAATTTTTTGTGAAAGATTTTAAACTATGCTGAGAGGACGTTTTCGTTTGCCATATATGTAGAAATTGCCCGAAGCTCGGAGCATATTAATTTTATAATCCCCCGGTTCAGAAGATCAAAATGTCTCTTCGATCGACACTTTCGCCTAGTTTGTTCTCATGTATGAGAGTGCTAAATTCAATGACTTCTTGTTAGATATGTGTAATATTTGGTCTTTGAAGAATATCCATGTGATTATGTCCAAAAGTGATATTGATAATCTATTTAAATATATTAAAAGTGAATTATGTAAAAGATATAAATCATATAATACCATATCGAAAGATCAGATTCGATCAACAGTGTATTATAAATTGCGTACATCTTAAACCGTGTAAAACCATATTTGGAGTTTGACAGCTATTTATCTAAGTTAACTTCGAGAAAATTTCTTAAAAAAGTTGGTGTGACTAGTTAAAACACGGAACAGCCGATCTTTATCTGCAGAAGCGTGCTTAAAAAACGACCCATCTTATGAGTTCAATGGCAAAGTAATTTTAAAAATAAACATTGTCTAAGCCGAGAAAATCAAAAATCTTTATTCGATTTACAAACATTGATTAAACATTCATTTCTTTTGTATTTTCCTCATAAATTATTGAGTTCTTTAAATATTATTTATTGTACTCAAGTTTCAGTTCAGTTTGACAGTTGGAACTTGGAATTATGTTTGAAATCTTCTCTTCATCAAAAACAAAGCGAGGAAACAAAGTTACCTTAGCATTGTAAAAGTATAGTCTTTAAAACGTGATGATAAAAATTTTGGAGTCAAGTGACACTTGAAATATACTGAAAGAAATATTTAGATGGCATGGATGATCATACAAATATAATGAACAGGTGTAAAATAAAGCCAGACATTGTGCCATAAAATCTTTCAACGATAACAAAATAGCCTACATATATCTCATTTTATTAAATGTCCTGTCATTGCTTGAAAGTGAAACCAGCAGTTTTTAAATGCTGCTTGAGCATGTAACTCGCCAAAGGAAGTAGACTTAATTTGAAAATTTTTACTGCTGCTTTGAAGTATTCGTTTTGACTCATTATATTGTCCTATATACACATTTTTATAGACCACATTCATAATATATAGATGGGATTTAAATATTAAAACGCAAAAAAACTATTAAAACGCAAAAATGAAGCCTATAGAAGGGCTTATTAGAATGTACATAAAAGATGTACATCTGTCAATGGACCTTACCGATTATTATTATATACCAAATGGCCTCGTTTCCATGTTAACTTATTTTAGCATGTCAGGGGTCACAGATAAAGATTCTATTCCCATGATTTCCTGGACGAATTTGTTTCTTGCTGTTCTTATAGCCTTAGGCTCAATAACAAAGTAATTTTCAACCCTATACTAAGCACAAAACATAAGTAAGTATTTGACATGAAAACGAGGCCATTGAGATAAAAGAGAATAATCGGTAAGGTCTATTCCATCGAAACTATATTCTACATTGACGTACGGCAGCGAAAGTCAACCCTGACTTAAAAACGTGCGTCTCGTACAGAACTTGTATTGCCTGGTAAAAGCACTCTTCTCATGCAGATGCATGTGACTGGGATGGAATTGGTATACGCTTAGAAGACGCGCCAACACTAGGGAGATGAAATTCATTATGTATCACAATTTTTGAACGCAGTCCAGCTCTGTTACATGACAATGGCAAAATTCACATTTAAGATTCATATTTAAGTCACGTCTCTATACAATGTGACAGGTAGTTTTTCTAACAGATTGATTAAAATTAGCATTTCTCATGCGCGAGCCAATATCCGTCATTTTTTGGGTACTGCGTCTCACATCAGATTTAGATAGTTAAAATTATGTGAAGATGTGTACGATTCGTATTCTGGCGTATGTAATCGAATAAGCATGCGTAAAGTGATTGCATTTCAGATTTCGCCATGAATAAGTGAACGAAGAAGACATTTTAGTAATTTTCAGTAGCAGTAATTTTCATATGCCATGCCAGAATACACGAATCGTACACGACACATGATAAATCGCAGCGTGTAAGCACGCATTTAGGGGTTGTTCATATGGATGGGCTGGCTTTTTAAGACGCATTGCAACCCTTTTAATTGAAAAAAAACTAACTAGGAAAATCAATTAAGCATAATTCAAGACAAGCCCGTAGCCCTAACAATGAGGTAATTTATTTTAGGCCACAAGCAATCTATTTTCATACAAAAATTGAGTATGACGATGAGCCTCAAGTATTAATCTTCTACAGCCAAATTAAGCGTTTATTACAGTAATATTAAAGTACTATATCAAATAATTAAACTTGATTTGCTTTACTGGTTTTTACCAAATTACAAATCACGCACTATTTGTGGATATTTTTATCTAAATTAATACAAAAATATAAAATTAACCTCAGCATATAGTAAGAAATTAGGCTACGCCTTTGTTGACTTTGATATGACAGCCGCCTTGTCTATTTTTTTTGCAAAAAATGTGGAATAAGGGAGGGGGGGGCATAATTTCAATTTTATTTCCGCGTGGGGAGGGGGCACTGCCCCCCCCCCCCTCAGCTACGTGCCTGATTCAAGATCAGTGATTTCGATATTTTTAACATTTTGTCTGATCTTGAATTATACTTAATTGATTTTCCTAGTTAGTTTTTTCAATTAAAAGGGTTGTAAAAACCGTCATTCAAAAGGCTGAATAAAGCTCTTACCACAACTTTAAGAAACATCCAAAATAATATTTCAAAGTAGAATTAGCTTATATACTTTTTCGATAACGTTGGTTTTATGTCAGAAATGCGTTGTGAACCCCCTCATAACATGGCGTTAATTAAGGATGAAAGTAGTTCTCAATAAAAAAAATATCGCTGACGCATTTTGCTGACGCACTTAAAACTGAGTATAAGCTAAAATATCAAAGAACATCTCCATTAAAGTTGTTCTGAAGTGTCGTTTTCCTCAACTGAAACACACAAGCAATATAAATGTATTGTATATTTGAATGGCAACAAAATAAAGCTTTTAAAATGAAACAGGATGTTATAAATACTTCACTAATATCATTAAAATATTTCATTTTTTATATTGCTCTTACGGCAATGCCGGCAAACTGCGATTTTGGCGCGAAAATTGTGGTATTAATTGTCAATGCCAAGGTAACGGTTTTACCATTGTTATTGCAGTGTGTGCTTGCGATTTTCTTATTCTGATCGATGTGAACGAGTGAGTGAGTTATGAATGTTGAGACGAGGGTATGCATGTATTCAGAACATTCAGGAATCATCATGGTATGGGCACAAGTTTACATAAATTTAATACTTTGAGCTGTGCTCTTTGTCATGTCAGTATAAGAAAATGAAGACTATACCAGATAATCTAATTATACAACCGATTAAAATTTTTGGCTTACTTACAAAGTGAATAATTTTAATTAAATAGCAATTGAAATTTTTAGTATAGTTCTGACGACATTCGCAGTTCGATATTCAATAAATACTGACAGTATTAAAATGGTCACACTATTGTATACATACACAAATTTGTTAAATAATATATGAATAAAACTAGACTTCTTCGTGTGAACATATAAAGTCCGGATTCAATTGACATGCATGTATACACATGCAGGCTATTTTAATAATGATTGTCTTCGTATGTAGCATATAACAAAGTCTTTATTTTATATAAATAGCTTTAAAATGCCCCCCTAAATATCACAAAAATAGAGTTTGAATATCTGAATAGCTCTACAGTTTTAAACTGTTCTCTCAAAAGCTGCAATGCCATTAATGCTATACTATACTGGAGGTAAGCATGCACGGACGGTAAAAACATATAGAAGACTAGAAAGATATTCTCAAATACAACTACATGAGGAAAAATTCTAAACAGAAAAATTGAGATTACATGCATGTATGCAGTAATATGAGTTGGTATTTACAATACGACATATAGATATAGTTGTCTTATATCGAGGAACACAACTTTATAGTCTTTCGACGTAGTGTATGGTATTTCGTAATTACCCTCTCAGAATAAAGATTATAAAGTCTTCTTTATGCCATCTCGTAAAAATTGCGTGAAAAAATTCCCACGTAAAAATTACAGCGCGCATCATAATCTTCTAAAACGCTCTATCTAGAGGTCCAGTAATACCAAAGTGGCTTCCATTGCTGGCCCAGAAGCAGAGTTACTACAGTATAATCCAATCAGAGCATACCCGCAGTGTTTGGTAAACGCTTGTCAAATGCAACTGGAGTGTTCAATCACAGCAAAGTGATTAAGAGCATGGGCAGCTATTTTATATTGCGGTCCTTATAACTTTATTTGCACTGTACACAATTAAGAGATTATTCTCATAAAATACCAGGTCTTTAATCTAGACAGCATATTCTTATACAAAAATAGCATAAAACTTCTCACTAGAAAAATAGTGCATATATATAAATAGCCTTACCGTATTTGAAAAAGCTGATCACCGTGTCCACTTTATTCTCGTCCAAAAACTTCCTTTCGATTTCGTAATGTTGATCAGTACGGTTCACATCGTAACTCACTTCCTTAAATAAGCCCATCATAAACTTGGGGGCCGAGTATCTTCGCAAAAGAAGGTCGCTTTGTATCGGAACTGTTCGAGGTACATACTGCAGTCCGAGTGATTTCATTAACGCCTTTTTATTGTCTCTCAACTCTTGTGCACTTTGCCGTTCCAAATCGGATAACGAATCACAAATTCGTAGCATTTGTATGAGTAAGATTGCAAACGTCATTTTATATAAACGCACCATCGTGTCAGCTTTGTATAGGTACGTACTAGTTAATACCCCCAGATGGTAGTTATATAGGTATATATCGATCGTTACTGCCCGCTAACCACAGTTATATATGTCACGACCTGTGAGGTTATTGTACTATATAGTATTCCCTGTTGACTTATAGTCTCAACACTTGATTTAATGTTTTGATTTGGCGGATGCCAAAGTTATAAAGAGAATGCATCAAATCATTCCGGTGGAAGCCCCTCCCATACTTGAGAGTTTGAGTGGGTGGCGAAATTGGCTGTTATATTCCTGTGAATAACTGAGGACAACTCCGATACAGACAAAATAGTCACATTGCACTTGAAGTATATGTACTATATCGAAGTTATAATTATGTGAAACATACTCTTTCCATCAAAAGAGTTGATGTGTGGGATGAATTGAAACAGAGTCTAAAAGACATTACTTCCTATATAACACATTCAAAAAACAAATGAAAGAATATTCTTTAATTAATGAAACTATTTGATAAGTTTATTTAAATGATGATACCGACACCTTCAACTACTGACAGATTGAATTTTGTAAAATATTTCTGTGTTAATAGTTTATAGTAAAAGCAACAAATATATATTGGTTTACCAATGAATAGAAATATAGTTTTCCTTTTCCGTTTAAGATATTTAGTTAACAAAAAATCATATTATCATGGTTGATAGTCTTAGAATGTTCCTGCAAATACCAGTATGATTTTGATAGAAAATACTGAGTCAGTTACCTGTAATAATTTCCATTAGTACTGCCAATAAATAAAAAATAATAGTTTCCTTTCCTGTTTAAGATATCTAACACCACAAAAATCACATCCGGGATGGAATAGCTAATGTTAGAATGTTCGTATATACAAGTATTAGAATTATTTTGATAGAAAATAGTCAGTTATACCAAGCACCATTATCGTTTCAAGTATTTGTAAGAAATTTAATAGCAGCATATTAAAAGTACCAAATTCGCGAGCAAATGTGCTCGTTTATAGTGTTTTAGTAGATTTATCTTACTAAAAAAATTAGTAATATTTCGGGTCACTTAATTGTGTGTGCAGTATTGCACTTAGGTTTTCGAGTCAAAATACTCAGGAGTTTTTTTAAGTAAGTGTTATACATATTAATCAAATATAACCCTGTTACCAGTGCAATACAGTGAAGTGGATAGCTTCAATATAAATAATAATGCCAAGTACACCGGTATTGCTGGTATCAACGAGTATTTTAAATGGCCTATAAATTAGCATAATAATTATGACAGTGCTATACAATAAGAACACAATACTGAATACACGAGTTATCAATTAGCTAGTATTATTCAAAATCGAAAAGTTAAACATTTTGAAAACCCCTGATATAACAACAAAAAATTTTAATGGTTATAATTAGGTCGCACGAACTGGCATAAATATAATGGAAGACAAGTATACCATGCAGTAAATCACAAGCTGTTGTTCTTTCTTCGCCATTAATGACAATCACATTAATACATCAATTTATTAATGAAGGCAAACATTACAACAGTTATAATCACCGATATTTTATAATGTATATCACTGGTCTTTTTCTGTGTATCACCGGTATTTTGTTATGTAAATCGTCTATTACATATTCATAATGTTCCTGCAAATACTTCATGTGACAGTGCAGTTAACGTTTATCTCTATAGTACTCGCAAATCAAAACCCACAGCCATTTTTTGGAAATTCACACAAGTCAAGTTGGTACCGTCTTTAGCGCCACGAGTAAATAATTCTGTCTCTAATTAGTTTCAAAGAGTTGTGTCTGACGAGATCAAGGGTTGAAATTTTATAAATTTTTTAGTCGCCCAAATGGCTACCAGTGAGTAAGAGTGTGGTCGCCAGATTTAATATCAGATCGCCCTATGCCAATGTGTCATAAAGTATTCTCTTTGTATCCATAACAATTGTTTATATATGTTGGCAAATATTATGATATATGAAAGCAAAAAGAAATACTTGATTACTTGAGATATTTTAAGTTTTTTTCTCTGTCGCCACGAAGGCTAGCCTGCGCGCAGACCCTACACCCGAAAAATGGGAGGGGGATACAAATCCGTCTATGCGTAGACCACACGAAGGCTTTGGCAACTATCTGGTCGCCAGATGAAAAATTTGGTCGCAATTTGGCGACCTGGCGTCCGCTCATTTCAGCCCCTGGACAAGATTGTATTGTAATCTGCAAATTCCCACAAAGGTTAAACAACTGAAACAGACATTATCGTATCTGTTTCGTCAACAAGTTGGTAGGCCTACATTTGTTCACTTTTGACTGCCATAAAATTTTTCAGCTGTTTTACATGTAGTATTATATTTGCTTTTAACATCTAATATATTACCATTTATTATATAAAGTATAGTGCTTTATAGAGATTTCGAGCACTGATAAAACTGATAATCAGTCTCACATGTGAGATTATTTATGAATTATGATAATTTCACATGTGAAATTATCGCTTTTCAATTATCGCTTTTCGGTAAAAATTATCGCTTTTCAAAGACTGTCCTTTATAAAATAAACAGAAAAATACATGGGTGATTGGAAATACCAGATTTATTTATCGTAATAAATCTGGTATTTCCGCGCACCCATGTATTATTCTGTATATAACAACTATAATAATTTCAGCAAGAGAAATAGTACAATGTGCAGTTTTTCACAGCAAAAAAGGCAACACTTTGCGCAGATACACGTACGCTTGCGTACCTATTTTTACATTTTTTTGCAATTGCAATTCAAGGCCCTCCAGGATGACATTAATGAATGAATAAATCACTAATTATACCATTAATTAGAACAAGCACAACAACATCAACTTCGGTAATTATCGCCATAATTAACCAATAGAAGATATTGTTTAAACGTTACTAACCTTGTGGTCGGCGATTACCGAATGTTTCCTGAAGACGTCAACATGAGCGAATAAATCTACATTGCCAACTGGCTTTGCTATTAAAGAGAAAAACAAATTAATCAAAAGCCTGCAATAATAACTTAATAGCACTGAAATTTCCTTCAAAATAAACTAATTTGATTTAAACTGGACAGGCTAATGAATTCTAAACTGTTCTTCCTGGAGGTCCAGTAAGGACCATCCCATATTACTCCTTTACAAGTTTTGCTTGACAAGTTTTATTTGCTCGTGTGTAGGTCCAGTAACTAAGGACCATCCCATATTACTCCTTTACAGGTTTTGCTTGACAAGTTTTATTTGCTCGTGTGTAGGTCCAGTATAACTAAGGACCATCCCATATTACTCCTTTACAGGTTTTGCTTGACAAGTTTTATTCGCTCGTGTGTCAAGGAGTCTTGTTCCAAAGCTAGTCATGCCAGTTTTTGGATAAGGAAAATTTGTTCGTGTGTACGGCCGCCAAGGAAAAGTTGACAAGTGTACAAGAAATTCGTCTATGGTTTTGGCAAACAAAAAGTGGCCTTGACGTGAGATGTTGAACAACATTCCGTGCACATGAGCAACAAAAAATTGTCGAGGGAAACTTGTCAAGGAAAACTTGTCGGGGAAAACCTTTTGACAGTACGCACGAGAAGATAAATTTGTCAAAGAAACTGACTTGTCAAGGAAAACCTTTTGACAGTACGCACGAGAAGGCAAAGTTGTCAAGGAAAACTTGTCAAGGAAAACCTTTTGACAGTACACACGAGAAGGCAAAGTTGTCAAGGAAAACCTTTTGACAGTACGCACGAGAAGGCAAAGTCAAGGAAAACCTTTTGACAGTACGCACGAGAAGGCAAAGTCAAGGAAAACCTTTTGACAGTACGCACGAGAAGGCAAAGTCAAGGAAAACCTTTTGACAGTACGCACGAGAAGGCAAAGTTGTCAAGGAAAACTTGTCAAGGAAAACCTTGTGACAGTACACACGAGAAGGCAAAGTTGTCAAGGAAAGCCTTTTGACAGTACGCACGAGAAGGCAAATTTGTCAAGGAAAACCTTTTGACAGTACACACGAGAAAGCAAAGTTGTCAAGGAAAACCTTTTGACAGTACGCACGAGAAGGCAAATTTGTCAAGGAAAACCTTTTGACAGTACGCACGAGAAGGCAAATTTGTCAAGGAAAACCTTTTGACAGTACGCACGAGAAGGCAAAGTTGTCAAGGAAATTCGTCAAGGGAAACTTGTCACAACCACCAACCCAGGGTATTTCCTCTTGGCGAGGGGAGAAAAGATCCTGGTAGACGCTGGTCACATGATCTGCTAAAATCTATAGCAGATTTTTAATTAGCAATCCAAGACGAGGTCAATAAATATTTGATATTTGGATATTTTTTATAGTTTAATTTATAATTTGCATTTTGCGTGATTGTCGTAAAGGAATCCAAGATAGTTAATTAGAAATCCGCGAAATTTTAGCAGATCACGGGACCAGCGTCTACCATGCAGGGTCTTTTCTCCACAAGAGGAAAGACCCTGTGAACGAGGTTGAACCAGTGGGTTGAACTTGTCAAGGAAAACTCGTCTGTGTCTTAAGAAGGGACTGGAAAAGGCAGTACTATCTTATCTGATAGGCTGGTGTTTACATCAGAATGATTGACGGTGACGTATGATCGTTTTATTTTACAAAAGGCTAGGCAAAGTGCGTTTTCCGAAAGAGATAATTAGCCAGTATAGAATTACTTTTCCACCGCGCACAGACACAACAAACTATGAAACACTTTGATTTATCTTCAATTCTATATTATCCTAATTCTGTATTTTTGTTGAAAAATTCGATAGCATGCATAAATAAAGTATGAATTTGGAGCAAACTACGAATATAGAAGTTCCATCTTGAAGCTGGCAGCGTATTTTGGTCTAATACCATGTATAATCCCTTTGCTGTTTAGCTCAAATAACAAGAAAAGCTGACTGACAAGAGAAATAAATTGAAGGCTTAGAATATAGGTCATCAGGCATGCGCTTATATATTTGTTTCTCGTTTATGTAGTGTTAAGAGGGGAGTGATGGATCCCTGATCATATTAAGGGCCACTATTGACCCCTTTCGAAAAGTCAAAGTACATTATATGCACATTATACACCATAAAGTCTGTCAAGATAAGATGATTGCCTGGAAATCCAGTAAACTTCAAAGGTACAAAATACTGAAAATAGACAAGCTTTGTTTGTTGTTGAACTGTAATGCTTTGTCCTAGACGTAGAAAAATATGATACAATATTAACTGAAGGTATCGTATAACTGGCTCTACATATATATACCATAGATATCTTATATACACTAGATAGTGCATCTAATTATTCTGCAATTCAAAAATTGAAGCCGTGATTGCAGACTCAGGATATTCCCATGAAATGAGAAGACTCGTATGTTTTCTATTTCTTAACCAGGGAACTTAAACATTAAGTTAAACCTATTCCAAATACATTTTCAAACTATTCAAATGATGAAAGTTATTGTTGTTTTTTAAGCGTTTAATAGCGAGTGGGAAACTCCAACATGGCCGCCATCTATTCAAATGGGGGTAACCGCTGGAATATTCTTGGCTTCAATTTTACTAAAAGAGATGCGCTATCTAGTGTATATAAGATATCTATGATATATACATGGTGTCCAAACAAATCCCCCATGACAGCTAGACCATGCCCATGGTCGGTGAAGATATGATGGTCTGGAATCCCGGCAAACTTCAAAGCCACAAAATAGAAGACCTTTGTTTGATGTTGAACTGCACTTCACCGTGTACAAATCCTTTGTCTCAACTTCATTAAATATTATTCATCGTGGTTGCACGTTTCATCTCAGCTATCCCTATTGGACGATTACTTCATTATTAGGGACTGCATGGTCATAAAGTAACTGCTAGGGTGGGCTGGAGGTAAATCACAAATTTTGCCAATAAGTTCGGTGACCCATCTTAGGATGTCGATAAAAATTTCAAAGCCCATCTGATCTTCCAAAAAAATTTTCATGACCCACCCATTCTAAATTGGGAATATACACTTTTATAATAAAAAAAAACTTGCAGATATGAACATTGTAAAATGTACACGGCACTGTATTGACATACATAATTCCATCAAGCTTGACCAACACATTGATACTGAGCTGCTTTTCAGTCGGTTGTATTTGCTGTGATTCGACCACTTCTTGTTGTTGTATAAACAAAGTACTGGCTTCAATAGCATTATTTGCATTAGTGATAATTTAGACAGTTTTGTTTACTTTTATTATTAATATCTTTATTACATTTGAAGCAGACATGCATGGGTTTTTGTTTGGTGGCCCAACCGTGGACATACAAAAAAATTGGTGGCGCATCGAAACTGCCCAAAGATTTTCCATGGCCCATCCCAAATCACTCCAGCCCACCCTAGCAGTTACTTTATGACCGGTCCCTTATACGAAAATACAATGAGCTCAATCACCGTGAGCGTGCACAAATTAACATAAACTCCGAGAAAAACATAATACAATGACTTCTGTTTAGTTTCCAGACCTGCATATCTTGATAGACTATATGTATATACTAAATAAAGTTTCTAAACTAAATTGTGTTATTTGTGATATCAGAAATTATCAAGAGGTCATAATGGACCATTTGCATTATAATTTATAGACTAAATTTTGATGTGGACAAAAATTTCATCACAGCGTGAAAGAGCATCACAAAATTAGTAACATTCCAAAGTTTCGTTGCGAATTGTTGTAAAATGCGGATAATATAGCTATGCGAAGTTTGCCGTTTTTCAGTCATTTTGTATTATGCACGGGAAATTGACAGCCCAATCGGGTGTTGGGGCATCAATTTCCCGTTTGTAATACAAAACGACTGAAAATTGCAAATTTCGCAAGGTTATATTATCCGCATTTTACAACATTTCGCAACGAAACTTTGGAATATTACTAATTTTGTGATGCTCTTTCAAGCTGTGATGAAATTTTTGTCTATATAGATAAAAATTTAGTCTATAATGCAAATGGTCCATTAGAGTTACTGCTCTATACTTGACCTTCACATAGTTCGGGATTTCACAAAAACCTCACCCATATAGGCCATACTTGTTTGTTTTTGCATAAATAATTGTTTATTATTCCATATTTGCTGATAAAATGGTACACTATAACCCGATAACGATACTGTAACATTTAATCACATAAAAACAAATTTTCACATAATAATAATGTCATATTTTATGTATATCAACAAACATCAACTCAATTTACTGTGTGTGAAAAACTCCAGAACCCCTCCGGCAAATATTTAACCTTCAGTGACTGCTTTTGAAGTGTATAAATTCGTCTAATGCGATCCAAAGTCAGATATAGAATAAGTCGTATCTCTAATGAATGCAATTAATGGAGTTTAGCTTTACTTTCGATTAAATAATTCGGCACTCACTCTGTGAATCTCTGTCTGGAAAAAGCAATGACAGACGGTTCCCACACAACGAGAGTTCAGTGATGAGAGTTGAGAAGCTAGTGTTTGTATGCAGAGTTTTCTCATTTCTCAACTCTCATGTCCCCGGTCAAACGAGAACAAGAGTTGCATGAGAGTTGAGAAGCGAGAGTTTGCATGAGAATTTTCTCAACTCTCATGTCCCGGCCCAACAAGAACAAGAGTTATGCCACACGCAGTCACAGTAATTGCTTTTCTGTACCGACTTCCAGTTCGTTTTAGATATCCTGTTTCCGAATGTATCCGAACTGATTGCGTTGCAAGTTGCGGCAAAACGTCATTAGTGAACTATTAAGCAAGGCTTTAGATTTTCAGTGACCCATAACTTTGACCCTGGTTTAACATATCTTTTAAAATTTCCTTTCATTGGCTGTTTTATTAACTTTCAAAAACAGAAAAATCGCGTCCGGTGTGTCTCGGCTTTTAATACGGGACGTCACCAGAAACAGGCTTAAATTTTACATTTTATATTATTGTATTATTTATAAAGAACTGTCGTTGTTAAAAACCTCAACAAGCATGGCAAAAATGCAACGAGGACAGCCACTGATATCATATTAAAGCCGAGTTCACACTAGCAATAGATCTTATGCATGACGTCACAAGGCTTGATGCCTACGGGGAATGCTGGTCTTAGTAGTCATCGCCCGGGAAATTTCGATAGTGGCCATTTTGAATTGTTTAATTTTCCCGGGCGATGACTACTAAGACCAGCATTCCTCACGGGCATCAAAATTGCCAGTGCGAGAACCAGGCTTTATGCAAGAACATGAGCAGAAATTTACAACTGATTAAAATCCACGGACGTTTTAGAAGCCGCCGTTGCTCTGTTCAGAAGTGTAGGAAGCATCAAAGCACCAAGCACCAAAAGTTGGGGGGGGGGGCACCGATTTCGAGGGGCACTTCTGGAATGAAAAGGACACCTAACAAAATATTTCCCGGAAATGTTGGCGACGGGGGTAGGGAAGGAAAAATAAATGCAATCATAAACTGAAAGGCCGACTCACGGATGAGATCGAATGAAAGTGACAGAAAGAATTAAAGCAGTTTGCAGTTGTTTTCGCAAACCGGGCACCGTGCGAATTTTGCCATTTGTCGTGCTCCAGCCCCATTTCTGGTTGGTCATTTCTCATTGTTTAACTGCCCCACACTCAAGTAACCACAAAGACTCACAGGTATTGCTTTGCAACATCCGTGAGTCAAAAATGCAATCTGAACAACATTTTTCACAAAGGCAAAGGGCACTTTGCCACCGGAAAAAGAGCACTTTTTGTGTTTTCTAAAACGTGGGGGGGAGGGGCCTTGCCCCCCGTTCCTACGCCCATGGCTCTGTTTACAACGGCAAAACAGATAGATTTACCAAGTCTTGTATACAACGCTTACATTTCAAGCTGGCAACTGCTATTTTCAATTGGGTCCTAGAACTTTTCTCAATCAAAAACATTGTGTTAACATGCCTTTAGAAAAGCCACCTTGGTGTGCTGGGCCAAGACGACATTTCAGTTCGTGACGAAACTGAAAAATCATCTTGCACGTTGCAAACAAAAATTTATATAAGAAATTAAGAATGATTATTACAATGATTAAATGATACAAACTGAAAAAAGTCAACACATTACTGTTGAATAGTCAACAGTGATTACTGTTGAAGATCCGAACTGTAACAGTTCACAGTTTTCAGTTAAACTTAATTGATTGAAATATTGAAATTGAATTATCAATGGACGACTTGCACTTTGCACTAAATTTTAATCTAAGTAAGAAAGAGCGTCTTGGAATTAGTAATATTACAAAGTTTGGTTGCGAAATGTTGTAAAATACGGAAAATATAGCCCTTCAAAGTTGGCAAATTTGTATACGTTTGTATTACATGCGTTAATTGGTAACTAAATTAGTTACCAATTTTCGCACGTAATAGAAATGTATACAAATTTGCCAACTTTGTAGGGCTATATTTTCCGTATTTTACAACATTTCGCAACCAAACTTTGCAGTTTTTCTAATTTTGATAACTTCTTTCAGAAAATATCCTTTGTTATTCCCAGATTAAAATTTTTTCTAAAGCGTATTACTAAGTCGTCCATTATGAAATATGAATGCTTTAATGGCAATGCTTCAAGATTTAATTCTTCTGCACAAATATTCTCCCCAGTCGGTGTATTCATACGATATTTTCTGAATTCTCATTTTCACAAGTCACAAATTATGTGATGTAAAATCATTAAGATAGTAAAATGTTCATCAGTTGAGTCAGTTCTAAGAAACTTTAGATTTTCCTGGGGCCAGCCAGATTCCCGAAATCCCCTGGCCTAGAGATTCCAGCTAGGCTGTTCCAGCTACAGCATTGAAGATTCAAATTGACTGAATTTACATTTGCAAAGACGAAAATTTTCCTTTTCTACAGGCATGCCTTAAAGGCGGTTTTCCACTAAGCGAAATTTTTCGACCGAATCGAAATTTTCTTTTGTCTTACAAGTACTCAGATGGAACTAAACAGAAATCTTTTGTATTTGAACAACGGAAATTTCGGTTCGATCGAAAAATTTCGCCTAGTGGAAAACCACCTTAAAGGCCCATTTCCACTCAAGAAAAATTTCCACGGACAGAAAATTTTCCGAAAATATCATTGTTAAAAGTTGAAATTTCTCACTACTTCAAAATTTTTTTCCGACGGAAAATTTGTCTCAGCCAATCAAATTGTACAAAATTTTCTTGAGTGGGAATGGGCCTTTAGGGACTGGTCATAAAGTAACTGCTAGGGTGGGCTGGAGGTAAACCACAAATTTTGCCAATAATTTCGGTGACCCATCTTAGGATGTAGATAAAAATTTCAAAGCCCATCTAATCTTACAAAAAAATTTTCATGACCCACCCAATCTAAATAGGGAAATACACGTTTATAATAAAAAAAACAACTTGCAGGTATGAACATTACAAATATACACCGGCACTGTATTGACATACATAATTCCACCAAGCTTGACCAACATATTCATCACCAATTACGATACTGAGCTGTTCTCCAGTTGGTTGTATTTGCTGTGATTCGACCACTTCTTGTTGTTGTATTTACAAAGTACTGACTTCAATAGCATCATTTGCATTTGATAATTTGGATAGTTTTGTTTACTGTTATTATTAATATCTTTATTTTTTGAAGTAGACATGCATGGATTTTGTTTCGTGGCCCAACCGTGGAAATACAAAAAAATTGGCGACCCATCGAAACTGCCCAAAGATTTTCCATGGCCCATCCCAAATCACTACAGCCCACCCTAGCAGTTACTTTATGACCGGTCCCTTATTACTGTATTATTTTCACACGCGCACGATAGATAGTAGGCGACATGTATGTTTTCTGTTGCAATAATTTTAGTTAATACATACTTAAGGTCGCTGAGCTTCGTGTAACACGACTACATTTTAGATTCCGTTTCCACGCAACAGGATTAATTTGTATCCCTGCCGTCAAATTGGAACGATTTCGCTTTTCTAGTTCACACGGGGCGTGTGAAAAGGGACGAATTTAAGCGCAGCCAATTAACCGTACAAATTCCCCTGGGAACGAATGGAATCGGCCAAATTTGGGCTGGCTTCCGAATTCCCGTCTGGTGCGGACGTAGCAATTTAGAAATATGAAAGAAGCCATATTTTAAAGATCACATTATAATACCCATTACAATGACCTTTATTTAAAACTCAGGGTAGCCCTTTTAAATAAAGCTTTTGCCTGTTCTACAGGGTGTATCAAAATAAACGCAATTCATCTTTTGTGCTTAATAACTTTCGAAATACTATTTCTAGTTAAACGCTTTTAGGCTTATTTCAAAGCCTGTTCTTTTCTCTTTCAAACAAACTATTATCCTTGTCTCCAATGCTAGTAATAATTGCACAGGAAAAGATTTAGTAAAACCTATCATTTTTAGTTGCTGTTTAATTATGCAAGTTTACTATGTTATTGTTTAGTCGGTTTAAATGTTAGAATTTTCTTCTTTAAACTTTAATGTTGTCGTCACTACATCTGGAAAACAACGTAAGAACAAATTAAAAGTATTTTAAAAGAGACCAGGTTGTTTGAAAATCCTAAACGAATGCTAAAAATCGTCAAAACATTCTGGTGTCTGAGCCAGAGTGTCATCGAATTGCGATGTAATGTAAACAGAAATTATAGCAAGTTGATGTCAGTCAGCTTAGATGGTCCAAGCCAAAATTATATCGCATTTGAAGTTTCAAACTGAGTTAAAAATAGTGGAAGAAAAGCCGTAATTATACTTATTGTTACAATCCATTTAATAAAATGCAACATTTTTTTGTTTTAATGAAAAAATCAGTTATTTTCATGAGAACGATTTGTTATTCCATCTCAATTTTTTAATCTCCAATCGCAATAACGTAAAGTATTATTAGCCGCGAACCAATGAGTCAAATTTAAGAAACAACCCACTGTTAGAAAGCTGAATGGCTACGCTTTAAAATGAATGTAAACTTTAACGTTTTCGTCTATTATTTGTTTAGCAATTTACATTTCAGTCGAGGATTGCGCTTTTTTTGATACGCCCTGTATAGCTGGTATCAATTGCCTTGAAGTAGATAAATAAATTCACCCTGGAATTCAACTAATATATAAATTCATGGAGGAGGGGGGCAGGGGGCAACCGCCCCGTTATGAAAGCATTATGTTGGGAACCTAAATTGTCTCCCGCCCAGTACTTCACCGAAGTGTCGGCCGTCCTACTGAATTCATGAATATATCAATTCATCGCTATTCTTGGGGGGAAAGTAGATTGTTTAATTTGGCAACAAAAGTATGGGTGCCTCAATTTTCATTGTCTCAAGAGATTGATTGTAGTACACCTATTTCAGGATGTCGTATAGTTATGAAGTGCTAAATTTAGCTCATACTGGCAAGCCGGTGCCTATATGAAGAAATTCAAATTTGGCATGGAATAACCTGCCAAATAACATGTTGATTGGCTTTGTTTATACTTTAGCTAACTCACATAAACCTAATTATCATTGTTCTGATATACAGGATGTATAAAAAAAGGTAATCCAAATTTGGCATGTTGTCGTATATTACGTTCATCCATTTATTTCTTTCATACCAATAAAGATCAGGGGCGGTTGTCTATGCTTGGTGTGCTCCTTCACATCCTCCAAAAGGAGAAATGCGCAGTAAAAATCGCCTGCGGTTTCTTGTGATGCATGTGAACGAGTAGATAAGTTACGAATGTTCTGCCAGTATATCATGCCAGGGCTCCAGTGCCGTAGCAAGCTCGATAATTGAGGAGGCTCATATTCATATATTCGTGTTCACAGACCATAAAAACAATCGATTTCAAAATATATTAATAACGCAGAACACGAATATATGAATATGAGCCCCAATTATCGAGCTTGCTACGGCACTGGGCTCGACATAGCGGGCTGTCAATGGCCAAAAGCAGGTCATATTTTAGAAATGGCAGGCAAAAACAAATTTGAACTGCCAAAGGCAAAAAGAAATGGCAGGTGAAATTCTATAGATATATTTCATTTCATTTCCTTACCACAACTCATATATACTAGATCATTTGGTTGACTAAATACGTTTCACATGAGCTCCACCTTTGAATTTACTATACGAGTAAATTCTTAAACACGTCCGAATTTATCATTATAATAAATTCGCGGCACATTTTGAATTTATCATAATGATATAAATTCGCGGCATCTAACTCCTAACATACCCTGGATTCCAGAGCCTTAATTCGACAGTAAATCATAAATTGAAACGTCGCGAAGGCTCTGGTTCAACGGGAAGATTCTAGTTGATTAAACCGCGCCAATCACAAAACAGAATTAGTGGTTTTAGCACAGAATCTGTACTAAAGAATCTAGCTCCCCGTTGAACCAGAGCCTTCGCGACGTTTCAATTTATGATTTACTGTCGAAGGCTTTGGAATCCAGGGTACCCCTAACACTAACCCTAACCACTAACCCCTAACCACAAACCCCTAACCCTAATATAATTTTTATAGCTTTTTTGAAAATCTAACTTTTTAAGTTTTTTTCTTTTTTAGAACTTTTTTTTTGAAAATCTTGACTCATATGAGACAATCGCCATTTTGTCAGTTCAATGAATAAAAATGGCAGGCTAAAATTTAATTTCACCATAACAAAAAATTTTAGATTGGCAGGGCATATTTCAGTTTCTCTACTTCGAGCCCTGTATTATGCTTCACTGATGTAAACCCTCATTGGCACATTCATAACTCATCCACTCGTTCACATCCATCAGAAGAGGAATATCCCACGTTCCTAAAATTGGAGCGCAAATTGCAAGTGTAAATGGGGCTTTAATAGACCTTAATTATTTTAATACCGTGAGAGCGAGTGTTGGTGCGGCCGGCATTGGCGGCACCTACGACAACCACGATCCCCTTACTTAAAAACAATGTCCGTTTCTCAATCTACGTTTCAAGCATCCCACACAGTCGCCAATCTGGGAATTATTTACCTCGCTCGTGACTTTGCGCATTTCGTGAAAGGTTTGGCAAAAAGACGACAAAGTTTTCTTTATTGTCAATAATTTTTAATTGCTTTATTTAAATATTTAATATATTTCAACCATATATGTGCAAAAAGCCAAACGCTTGTAACGACTTGGCAACATCAGTTTCCGAACAGGAAACCCATGCACAATAGAACAATTAAAACTTAACTATATACAAACGAAAACACAAAGATTTATATTTATATTTGTCATGATGACTCAGACAATATAACGGTGTAACATACTAAATTATGTGTATATACGCACATAAATGCTGACACAATTTAATGAAATGACAATGAAAATCTGTTTATCGTATTAATATTTAATTCCATCACACCATTGGATAAATAACTTTCAAACTCAAATTTATTTACGCAATTTATTACAATGTTGAATCTGATCTTTCCATATGGTATTATATCTTTTACATAATTATACACGAGAAAAATTGAAAATTGATAGAACGAGGGAAATGTGTTGTAATATAGTTAATATATTGAAAATATTTTCCACTGTATAATAGGAGCATGTTGGGGAACTCCAAACTAAGCATATGAGAACGCGCCTTCATTTAAGAAATACTATCGCAGTCTATTAAGTGAATATCAATCATTTCCTATTCTTATGGAGGTTCACTCTTTAGATATATACCTTCAAGCATTTGTAAGTCCCAAACACATTCAAATATCTTATTGTGGCTATATCCAACAATATTGATGGCTTTTCAAATTATTTTTAATTCATTGAGCGCCAGTGCGAGAGTCTCCCTTGACGAGTAAAAACTTCTGGTGTTAAGGCCCGGTCACACTACACAACGATAACGATACGATAAATTGTAAACACGCGATAATTGTCAAAAAAATTGTGTTAGTGTCCACACAACAACGAAAATGATAAAATTATCGTTAGACGATAACGATAACGATTTTAAAATCGCTCACCTGAGCGATTTTTTTTTCAGTCGGACGATAACGATAAATTGTTGGCCAATCAGCGCACGTATACAAGTTATCGTATCGTTATCGTTGTGTAGTGTGACCTGGGCTTTAAGCTGGTTTTCCACTAGGCGGAATATTTCTCGCAAAGCGGAATTTTTCTTTGTCTTGTGATTTCTTGGGTGGAACTCAAATTAGAAAAGACACAAATTGTTAGAAAAATTTCTAGTTTGGCAAAAATTTTGTTAGTTTTTGGGTTTCAATCACGTGATGTTTTAGCATGGTAGGGGTTCACTTGTTGATGCCGAGCAGGTCCTCCAGTAATATAGTATAGCTCAGTGGCGTTAAACACTCAGGTCGACTAATTAGGGCTGTATGCCTGCGAACAGGCCGTAAAACAAAGATGGCGGCTTTCTACAGAGTGACGATTGTTTTATCCTAGAAGATTAATTTATTTATTTCGCCCAATCATTATGGTAATTATTTACATAAAAGTATTAAAGCTACAACTTTAAATGGGGCTAGGAGTCTAAAGAAACCTTCATAGGCTTTTAAGGTAAGGCCCTAGTTTAATGTCCAGTGCAAAGTTTTATATTGTGTCAATCAGTGCCAGTAAAGGTCAGTAAAAGTATTTACAAGAATATGAAGATTAATACATTAATATTGCTTTCACTAGTAAGAATAAAGTACATAAGGAGAAAATTTGGAGAGCTATAAAGACATAATCTGTTAATTACATGAATATGAATTAGACTTCCTTGTTTAAAATATAAGTTCACTAGATTGTATTCAATTATGTATTTTCGATTTTTTTTAAAGA